AAACTATTGCTTATATGTGGAATCTTTAAAAAAAAAAAGGACACAAATGAACTTATCTACAAAACAGAAACAGACTCATGGACATAGAGAACAAACTTATGGTTACCTGGAGGTAAAGGGGGTAGGAAGGGATAAATTGGGAATTCGAAAATTGCATCTCTTGGGGAGTGACGGAAATGTTAGCTATTTTGATTGTGATGGTGGTTTCGTGGGTGTATACATCTATCAAAATTCATCTAATTGCACATCTGAAATATGTGTAGTTTACTGTACAGGAACCATACCACAATAAAGACGTTTAAAAATAAAGAATTGCATCTATGAAATTATTAGGTTTCAGGGGGATGCCAGAAGCTATGAAGATTCTTGTCAAATGAGTGATCCACACCTCAAGCCTCTAGGAATTTAGGGAAAGGAGGCCACAGTTGAGTAGGCGAGATTGGGAAAGGGAGGAACAGTGGAAGGAGGAGAAGAAGGCAAAGGATAAGCAGGTAAGTCCTGAATAATTCAGCTGGATGAGGAAGGGCACAGGAACAGTACAAGCAAAGGTGTAGGGTCAGAAATGAACACAATATGTTCTGGGGATCAGCTGTGAGGTTGTAATGTCTCAGACTCATTATTCTGGAGATCATATTCCCTTGCTGAGACAGTAATGGGAAAAGATGTCAGCAATTAGACTGAATGTGTGCTGACCCCTGGGATTTTCTCTAAATAGTTATACGAAGCACAACACAATGAAAGAAACAGGAAAAAAAACCCAGGGAAATTCAGATTTAAAAAAAACTTTAGAAAGAGGAAAAGAGGGGGAAAAAAGACTTTCTTGGCAATTTGCTTTTTTCTATAATAAATAAATAGTCCTGAAAAACTGAAGTTCCCTGCAAATGTGATGTTACTTAATTGAGATAATGGTTTATTATATTCTGAGGCTTATCAGTTATGTGGGAGAACAAACTGCACTTTTGCAGAGGTCCCTGAAATGCTGCCGGGGAAGTATTAATAGAGTTATTAAAATATCATTTTAATTTTGCCAGTGTATTGAGGCTTTCTCATGGTTTGCAGGGGAGGAGATAAGGAGGAATAGAGTGAGGCTGGCAGACCTTGGTTTCTGGCCTTCACTTTGCTTCTGACTCTCGGATGGCAACCTTGTGACTTGTGAAGATGACTTCCTCATCTCTGCATGCCCCATGTGTTTATTAGGATCACAGCTGGTAACCAACCTCCTGACTTTCTGTTTGGAGTGAATGGGTGGAACACATTCTTAAACAGAATGTTAAGCAGAGTTATGAGGCTATAGAAGATGTCCACCTGATGGAAGAACAGATCTGGCCATCTTCAGGGATGCCTGAAGTCTAAGCCTTTGTGTTAAATAAACAACAGAAGACCCACCTTAGCCCCCTGCAAGATTTCTATCTGACTCCTTGTTGGAGTTGAGGTTTTGATATGGTACATGGGCCCATGGAATTCATTGGACAGCCTTGGAAATTCCTTCATGGTAAAACAAAGATACAGAACCATCTTGGGTGGTTTTTTTTTTTGAGGTGCTGAGGCTGGGGACGTGGGCCAGGGGCAATCACATAGTAGTAGGGCTCCCTCTGTCCCGACTTTCCCTCTTTCTTCATGAATAGTTCAACCTTGGTGAGACCCCTTGAAGTGATCATTTGAGTCAGAGGAGTGTAAAGATGAGAGGAAAAGGAAAAGCGTAGCCCTGTTGCTTTACCTTGTGATGGGGACTAGGGAAGGCCATATTCGGGACTGATTTGCATATTAACCTGAGTTCTGTTTTTCCTTTTTTCTTTTTTGTAAAACTTAGCTGGCCAGGGCCACCTTCTTGTGCCCCGCTGGCTACCTCCGAGAGACACTCCCCAGCTGCCAGTGCCCACTCATTCCCCAGCTCCCTACCCGAACCCCAACCCCCCCACTCCCCTC